AGAGGATTTAAAGCAGGAACAAAGAGAATGTTTGGTGAATTTTATCAAGGGGAAAGACGGTATTGTCCTTCTTCCTGTGGAATGTGGGAAAAGCTTAATATACCAGTTATCCCTGTTAGCAGCGCATTACATACGTCACGACCAAATAGCAGAGATTGGTTTAATGAAAAAAAGTACCCGCCTACCGTTGAGTAAACAAATCCTAATGCTGCGAGGTCTGACGGTTTCTACAAAGTGAAATTGGTTGATGAATCGGGGAAGCTAAATGATAGATAAATCCAAGAAAAGCAAACAGAACATTTAATGCTATGTGGGCAGATTCATGGACGCACCAGAACTCGTGATAAAATGATGACGGAACACAGACGCCAACGGCATTTTTGGTTCACTGCGGATGGATAATTGAAGTTTGGATTTTTATTTCCTAAGAGGAGGACTCAAATACACAAACTAATGAGCATCAACCAAGTGTCTTTCTTCTCTGAGTTCAAAATGTTTTTGCATTTCATTGATTTCATAAATGCAACACACTATAGTCTTCAGAAAATGATCCGCAGTGTTATCCTTATTTTAGATGTCAAATGTTCAGACGTTTTGTGGCTCCGGGTGTTTTCTTTCCTGTGGGAGACGCTCCAAATGGTTCTTTGAGTATTTAAGGTTACAGACCCCTGATCTAGTCAATAATAGAAATGATCAGGTTCCATTTACCTTTGGATATTTTCGTGGCAAAGTACAATGTGATCAATAGGAAAAAAACTTCTCATGATCACATTCAAGAGTCTGAAACCACCAATATTGGGGATGTTAAACTCTCAGACGGGGGGCAAGGGCCAGTTTTCCTTATTAATTACATTATACTTTCGCATGAAATATTCACAAATGTTGAACCTGATCATTTCTATTACTGACTAGACCCTGAAACTCACTCTACTGCAATAGAAATCTGCATTTTAACGATATAAATTTTGTCTGCCCCTCATCTGTATTAAATATAATCGGCCTATAGAATATTGAGGTCATCTGAAACCAGGCAGTCATGAATAATCCAGAGCACATTGGTGAGAGTTCAGATCACTGAGTGTGAAAACCTTTTGCTGTTTTATTTTAGATAATAATTCGCATATAAATCTGGCATTTAAACTAACGGCTAACCAACTTCCAGATGAGATTTCTGAACTTTTGCTCATCTAGTGAAGCTCTAAGACACTAATCCTCCTCTTAAAATACAAAAAATAAGTAAGTAAAGTTTTAAAAAGTAATACAATACGGAAATACCATGAGATAAACATGGTATATACTTCATCATTCGCTTGTCTGTGATGGAACGTTCAATGTGACACGACATCAGAGCCAAAGGATTAAACTGAAGCCCTGGACAGAGATAGAAAATGTTGTGTCTAAGAATATCTGTGTTTGGCGTGGCCCTCCGTTGACATAGCAATAACAAAATTCACATCTAAACATGAAATCAAATCAGAAAGGAACCATTTGCTGAAGCTCATGAATAGAGACAAGTAGTGGTTGTGCAAAAATATGGAAATATCGATATATGGTATTGTTTAATTTGACAGTATCAATATCGTGGGCTATATTACTGATATATAGATGGATATTGTATTTTTTTGGTATATTTTACTACATTATTTTGTGAAAGAACTACAATTGTGTTCCTTGTTTGGAGAAAGGAAACTTAATGCGTTACATTTTCACAGTTTTGATGAGTACAGTGGGTGTTTTTCATATTAACTTTGAACAGACTTTGATTTTTTAGTATCACAGCCATGATTTGAAATAGGGGTGTAACTGTACATGTATTCGTGCTGAACTGTTTTGGTACGGGGCGTTTGGTTCGGTGCAGGGCTGAGTGCATGAGTGAGTTTGCGCAATTTGTGTGTGTTTACATTCCACCACTACACGTGCAGATACATGAAAGGCTCGGCGCTTTAATATCCACGAGGGAATTTGTCTGTGATTGGGGCAGTGTTTCTTACAGCGCTTTATAGTTAGAGCGGCTGCCTTGACAACAATTGCCCCAAGCCTTGACTACGTCCCTCCGAACCACGTGAATCCTCACAAAACTACGATCGTCGAGCCCCGGTCCTCACTTTCGCCTTTCGCCAACACAAAATCTCCGCTCCTCCCCAGCAGATCTGCAATAACTACAGACAATGTGGACAAGTTGTTTTTTTCTGATCTAAAAATATGAAGATTGAGTAAAACTTCATGTTGGAACTGTTCGTGCTGCACTTTACTTTTTGAAAAGTTTTGTTTACTGTTTACAAGGAATTAATTTTTTATAATATTTAATGCATTTGTTGCTTATTTGAGAATATTTAATTGAACTTATACAGTATTACCAAGCAGCACTTTGCATTTATTTTATTTTCCATTTGTATAATTAATTAATAAATAAACAGATTGTTGGTTTAATAAACAACAAGTAAATGGTTTTGCATTTTGTTCCCATACTGTACCGAAAATGAACCAAACCACGACCTAAAACCGAGGTATGTACTGAACTAGGGATGGGCATGATTAATCGATTAATCGATAATTGATCATTAAGAATTTCGTCGATAACGTTAATTTTAATCGACAATCCGAATGTAGGTTGCTGTGTGTAGCGTAAAGTGACCAAACAGGTCTGTACATGTGTCTCTCTGCACTCAGAAGGAGCGAGACACAAACAGTCGGTCAGTCTGCAACGTGCCGAAGCACAAATGTGTATTTAACGATGATTTGTACAAGAAAGTCCACGCTTTCTGTTGCGTTCGGGACAAGTGTGAGTCCATGTGCACAGTGAACAAAGCAGCACATATGTTTCGGTGTCCAGTGGGAAAAAGTTTTACCAGGTGAGAGTCGCGCAATGTCGATGACGAGTCCCCACCTCCCTCCCCCCGTACGGTGTCCTGGTTTTGACAAACGCAAATCTGGTCACACTAACCTGTATTCCACTGAGTCATGTCTTTTAATCCGACAGAAATTGACCGCATCAGCGACACAAGAGCTGTAGTTTTAATCTTCGCTGAGTTTATGCAAATTAGCGATGCGGTTTTAAGTTTCGTTTCTGTGAAAGTTGCTCAGAACTGAATTAAACACTTTAATAATTAATAATGTCAAACGGGCTGATGTGGCTCTAGAGTCGTTACGGTTTATATGTCGTAAAGTTGAATTTATTTATGCAGATTAGTAGTGCAGATAGTAATAATAATGATGATCATTTTAATATAAAAACGTTAATGATTAATCGATAATCGATCGTTAATTCTTCTGACGATCGATTAAGAAAATTTCATCGAATGCCCATCCCTATACTGAACCATGATTTTTGTGTACTGTTACTCCCCTAATTTGAAATATATCGTACCAAATTGTATTGAATCGAAAGTACACTGTATTGAAAAACATGGTCTATGTTTCGTATCTGCAACTTCTTAACAATACCCAGCCCTAGAGACAAGCAGGTGCTGGACCACCCAATACAAAAGTTGCACAGTGCCCCTTTAATGTACAAGAGTCTAGTCTCCAACATAATCATCAGGTTCAATGTTTATGGCCTTTTTTCCCCCCCCTTTTGGATATTTCTCATTCCAATCCCAACTGGGAGTATGACCTCATCACATTCTCCCGTCTGAAAACACCAGATGTAAAGGCCGAGGTGTCGAGGTAGAAATGATTGTCCCTGTGAAATCTGAATTTATCCTCTGCATTTGACCCATCCTTCACCGTCTCTGGGGCAACCTGTCAGGAACACCCGCTACGCAGCGCCCGGGGACACTACTTTATGGTTGGGAGTATCTAGCTGCAGAATTAGTCTTTTGTTCTAGATTGATGAGGGAGGAAAGTAATACAACCAGAGCAGAGTTTATGAATTCCACACAGGCAGGCCACACACTCGGCACTGGGCGATATCGAAATTTGGGGAAATTTGGGGAAACACAAACACAAACTCAGCAGCTCTGAGAAGAATTCAAGGACTAGTTTCATTTAAACACTGAAATAACTAACATACAGTCGTCCCTCGTTATATCGCGGTTCACCTTTCGCGGTCTCCCTGTTTTGCGGATTCTTTTGGTGCAATTTCGCATGCTTTGTTTACAGCATATGAACGCGTATTATGTATTACGGGCGGGTAGTAATTACACACGGGTGGGTCAGGACTAAACCAGGACTAATCTTGGACTTAAGAGAGAGAATCCTGAGCAGGGTATCTGCAAAGTGCGATCGGGCGACGTCCGCGTTTACCTCCGTGGGGTGTGGAGCTCTGTGCGTGTCCTTTCTCCTGTAGTCACCTCCGAGCCCGTCCTGACAGTTAGTCCTGTTTCAGTTCTGGTTTAGTCCTGTTTTAGTGCTGGTTTAGTCCTGGTTTACTCCTGTTTTAGTCCTAGTTCAGTCCTGGTTTAATCCTCCTCTTCAATCCTGGAATCAGTCCTAGGTTAGGCCTTGGTTAGTCCTGGTTTAGTTTTGGTTCAGTCCGTGGCGAAGGCAGCGTAAAAGTTTGATATAATCTCGGGTTAACGGGCGGGTGAGGTGCTGTATTGCGAACCTCCAAAAATGAACCCATGCTGGACTCTGTGCTGTAGGGCTCCATTACGGAATAAATTAATCTTCAGTTCGTTACATAAAGAAGGAAGAAAATAACGGCAGGACGACAGCAGCAATAAGTTTTAAGAAGGATGTAAAAAGTGTTGTAACTGTCCTGTCTGAAAAAAGTGTATAAAGTTTGTGCTGAGGGGTTTAACAGACTTAAAACAGATATAATCATTGTAAAATATAAAGTTGTCTACTTCACAGATTTCACAAGACGACAGCGACAGTGTGTATACTCTAAAACAGACTATACAGACAGTGGACAAGTTTTTTCAGCTTCACAAGTGAGACATTTCATTTGGTAGTGAAGTGCATTAAAAGTATTTAACGCACGGCTCCTCCTTGTCCCATCCCTACCTCACACTTTGCACAAGGAATCGAACCCTCATCCTTTATTTTTCCCAGCGTACCTTGCACCCAGAGGTTGACGTCTTTGCTGCGCAGGCCGATGTCGTTCATGACCTCACAGCGGTACACCCCGGAGTCGTTTCGGTCCAGCGGTCGGGTGAAAGTGAAAGTGTTGTTCACGATGCGCACTCCGTCTGGCATCAGCCCATCCAGCCTGAAGAGCAAGACACAGGGTGATTATTATGAGATTAGATGCACTTAAAGAGGGGGCTTCACTGCTAACACATACTTTACCTGTACCTGTACTTTCTATTCCACTAAATCTTAGAACAGAACTGGAAAGTAAAAGAATTTCTTGCAGTCATTGCATCAGATTTGTGAAGGTTTTGTGTACAGTTTTGTGTCACGTTTTTGTATATTTATGGAAAATTGTCACGTAGGCTTGTGGGTGGAGGCTTGAGAGACTGCTAGATTACTCAAACATGCATGGATAATATAAAACCAGACAAGAACAATGTAGGAAGTCCCCCTCTTTAAAAATTGATTTAGTTTAACCAAGTTTTGTGTGTTACCCAGCAACTATACTGTAAACTATGGCCTCAAAATAGTTCCACAAGCGAGAGAGCAAATTATCTGTACGCGCGAGGAGAAATCTGTGACCTGCGCAAAACAACCACTGGGGAGCAGACCCTCAATGGCCCGTTTCAGAAAAATCCTAGAACCGCTACTGAAGTCATTTAAACACAAAAACAACAAACAAACAACAAAATCGAAAACTGAAAAATAAAAAAAATATCATTTTTTTCATTTTTTTGAGTTTTGGAGACAAATAATGAAGAAAACAGCAGTTTTTTTCCCTTATTTTTGGTTTTATTTTGAAAAACGAATGAAATACACCTTCTGCACAAGCAAACAGAAGACTTCGAGAGAGCCGAAATGAACCTTGAGCGAGCAGAAATCAACTTCAAGAGAGCAGAAATGAACCTCGCGCAAGTAGAAATCAACTTCGAGAGAGCAGAAATGAACCTTGTGCAAGCAGAAATCAACTTCGAGAGAGCAGAAATGAACCTTGTGCAAGCAGAAATCAACTTCGAGACAGCAGAAATGAACCTAACGCGAGAAGAAATCAACTTTGAGAGAGTCGAAATTAACCTTGTGCAAGCAGAAATCAACTTCAAGAGAGCAGAAATGAACCTAACGCGAGAAGAAATCAACTTCAAGAGAGCAGAAATGAACCTAACGCGAGAAGAAATCAACTTCAAGAGAGCAGAAATGAACCTAAAATCAACTTCGAGAGAGCAGAAATGAACCTAACGCGAGAAGAAATCAACTTCGAGAGAGCAGAAATGAACCTAACAAGAGAAGAAATCAACTTCAAGAGAGTCGAAATGAACCTTGTGTAAACAGAAATCAACTTCGAGAGAGCAGAAATGAACCTCAAGCGAGAAGAAATCAACTTCTGAACCTCTTGCGAGCAGAAATGAACTTCGAGAGAGCAGAAATCAACTTCCGAGTTGTTTTGCACGCAGGTCACAGATTTCTCCTCGCGTTGCAGAGATAATTTGCTTGCATTTAATATGTACGTGTGTGAAATAGTACAATACGCCCGAATGCATGTTTTATCGTGCGTGTGCGTTATGGGACTATTTTGACGCCATATAAACAAGGGCCAAAGCTCATCTAATTTAACTCAAATGACAAATAAAACACATTTATTTTGTGTGTTCCTTGCTCATACTTTGACCCTGCGTTCTGGATAGAATTTAGTGCACTGATGACAAAGACAGAAGGCTTTAAACTCAGTGCTTCTTCCTGTAATTTCAACGTTCATGACCTTTTCTTCACAGAGATGTAAAACTATGACAAATATTTACCGCAGGTTCGATCCCAACGCGCGAAGTCATAATTAGAAAAAGCACACACGGTCCCGGGCAGCCATGTTGTATTTTGTTTTGTGAGCTATGCGAGAACAAATAGCTGCCAATAGGCCCGGTGTTGATGTGATGTATGACCCATTTGGGCTTCTGTATTTATAGCGTGAGCCCTCCCAGCGGGCGCAGCAGTGCTTTTGACAGCTCCAGTGTCTAGGTTCCAGAACAGTGCTAGACTCATTTATAGATTTCCTATTGCGTTTCACCGGACTCCGGCTAAATCCGCGTTAAAACGAGAGCGAGCGCGCGGCCGTGATGGACTTTCTGCGGATGAGAAAACACATCCAAATGTACTGAGTTGAACGCGGCAATTTACTTCAATCAGAGAAACATGTGGCTCCGGTTATGATGATTCACATAAAGTCACAATAAAATTCAAGTAATAACAGGTGCTTACGAGAGCAGAGTAAACAACTTTAGGCAAGGAATGACACTGAAAATCTCCTCTCTGCTCGCATATTTTTGAAGTTGTTTTGGTTTTAGTTTTGTCATGGAATAAAAATGCATAAATAATAAGTAGCACGTTTTAAAGGCCCCATTATACGCCGTTTTCTGATCCGTGTTATAATGTTGTTTCCTCATCAAAAACATTCCTGCAGTTTTGTTTGTTTTGTTTCATTCGCACATGTTTAACACACAAACTCGGCGGATTTGTTTAGACTAGACTACAGTTCGTCTCTCAGACAGAAAATGCAGTGTTCCACCTTGTGATGTCACGGCAATACAGGAAGTAATTTCAGCCCAGTAAAAGGTAACATGGTGATCTAAATATAATGATCATGATCTAGTATCACTTGAAAACTTCCAATTCATGATATCACAAAGTGGAACAGAGCATTTTGAGCGTTGGAGATGTAGACAGACTAATAACAAAGGATTACTCAAACACAACTAAACACAAATCCAGGTTGGTTTTTGAGGAGGTAACAATAGGGGTCCGGTCAAGTGGTAACGGAGGGAAACAGGGGCAGATTTTTTACATTCAAATGTCTCTTATTCAGAAACTAGAGGGACTATTGAAATAAGTAAAGTATCAGAATGTAGGAAAGAGTTACACTCCAACAGGGTCAAGTTAAACCTGTGATATTCTTTCAAGTTGTTGACAAAAAATTTAAAAACTCATGTCGGTAACGGAGGGAATGAAATATGCAGCACTTTTTGGGCAATAAATCCAAACAGTGATAACTCTTGGTTCTCACTTACATATCCTTAACAAACTGGTTTGAATATTTGCTTCATATAGTTTTCTACCATATGGTACAAGATTAGGTTGAAAAACCTCTTACTTTTTGACTAATGAGATTTTTTATTAAGAAAGGTCATGGTAACGGAGGGAAAAGTAACAGAGGGAAAATTGTGCAAACAAGTAGAAGGTGCAGGATTTTACATAATTTGTCGCTTTTTTCTTCCGAATACTTTAATATTACTTCAAAATGAAAGGAAACTATTTCTATAAAATATGTCAGTCCTTCCAAGCAAATTTTTATCATTTTAAATACTTTTTTTTTTTTAAAAAATCATGTACCTTCATCAACAGTTCAAAGATGGAATAACACAAGATATGATGAAATACATCCATTTATTTACATGATTTGCAGGTCTTTGAAATTTGGGAAATAATTTTTGTTCCATGTTTCATACATGGTCTGTTTAAAACATATGTAACTTTAGAACCAAAAATGGAACAGAAAAAAGGTCAACAGTTTCATAAACTAGAGTACATATGTATCTGTTCAATACATTTTTATATCAGATGCATTAACTTGAATTTTTGGCCTTGTTGTTTACTTCTGCTTGACCGGGCCCAATATTCAAACATGGATTAAAGCGGTCCTCCTCAAATAGTGGGGCGCGGTGCGATGCCTGGAGGGGCCTCGTGTGACCTCGGTGAACATGCTTTTCATTGCCGTACTAGAATAAAGTGTAACTGCACATCCACCACAGTATTTGGCAGTACAGTGTTGTTTTTTTTTTGCACCGAACATACACACACACACACACACACGCAGTACAGAGCAGGAGATATGAAGTGCAGTGAACAAACCCCTGAAGAGACACCATGGGAAACTATTTAACAGGGATGAAAAAAAAGGCGGAGAAAGACGGAGATGATGAAACAAATGACAGTCTCTGAAAGCTGAGACGAATAAATATGATGAAGCAAATGCAGCGCTTGGATTCAATGTGACCACGGTGGGAAACGAGGAAAGATCTGTGTGTTTACTGTATCTGAAAATGTCGGCATGAAGCCAAATAAATTACAGCGTCACTTAAATACATTACACCGCAATCACGCCGATAAGCCATTTGAGTTTTTTCAGTGAAAACGTGTCAAAATCATCCCGCTTTGTAAATATAAATTATACTATTTATAGTCGCGGCGGAGAGTGAAGAGGTGCGAAATGTTTTCTTCTTCCTAGTTTGGGCGTGACAGAAAATAATTGAGAAGCACTGGCTTAAAGGTAGTGTTAGGGTAAATAAATAGGCTCAGCGATTTTGTATAACGACCGCTTTAGTTTATTATTGCACCGAGGTCATGTGAGGGGCTATGATCACAGCTGTGAGAGTCATAGATATATGTCCAGACAAATACATGCACGTATCTAATAGCAAACTAACTAAATAGGACAAGAAGTACAGATAGGGATGATGTCATGACTTGTTACACCCCGGATGGAGTCTAACGGGACTGTGCAAGGAGTCAAGAGGCTTGGACCCAACAAAGAGGCGCTAAATCTAAACTATGGTAGCCTCCCACTATGGTTTGCAAATAAAACTCTTTGTATAGGCTCTTCATGCTTAAGTCACAAGCCAAGAAGACGTTTGGAAACATGCGAATAGAATCACTGTGGTCCAAGGCAGGAAAGATATCTGGCGAAGGCTTTTTTTGTCGAAACGTTATTTAAAGCTAGGAGGGGCTTTTGGACATCGGCCATCTGAGTGTGTTATGCATTTTTTCGCTTTTGTTTTGCTGTTCCTTGCATTTTGATAGCCAGGCTGGTGCCACCTAGTGCCTCCGCTCAATTTCATTTCTCTCCAGCGACTAAGTCAGGAATCAGAATACATTAAATGGTTTGCAGGAACCCCGGAAGTTGTAGAGCGCGCACCGGCCAATCAGCGAAGAACTGTGAAGCCATGACGTCAAACTCAAGCGCCTGTCTGTGTCCCTTTTGTCTTGCAGCAGTAAAAACAAAGAGTCGAGATGGATGTAGACGAAGACAGACATTCTGTGTTGGCAGCGATTCCCGAGATCGAGGATTTAAAGATGGAACAAAGAGAATGTTTGGTGAATTTTATCAAGGGGAAAGACGTTATTGCCCTTCTTCCTGCAGGATTTGGCGCATTACATACGTCACGACCAAATAGCAGCGATTGGTTAAATAAAAAAAGTACCCGCCTACTGTTGAGTGAATGAATCCTAATGCTGTGAGGTCCGACGGTTTCCACGAAGTGAAACCGGCTGATGAGTCAGACTAACATTTTGCACCTCTACAGGAACTTTGGTGTGTGTTTTCTGTTTCTATTGATTAAGCATGAATAGAGTCTGTAGGCGTAGACATTGAGTCTCTCCACTGGAATGTCGACACAGACTCCTTGTACAAGTATTGATCTCTAATATTTGAGTAAGTAAATTATCTGGACTTTATTTCTGTTTCAAGTGTATGTGTATGTAACGAACACGAGAGAAAAAGGCTGTTTTCCTCAAGCAGAAAGCCTTAGGAAAGTGAGGAAGATGTTTGGCCCACTGCTTTGAAATTAAAATTCGTTATAGAATCATCGAAATGCGTTTGTCAGCGATACAGACCTGATCCAGGTGTAGTGGCGCGCGGGCGGGTTGGCTTTGGCTCCGCAGTCGAACTTGACGTTCTCCTGACCCACGTACCAGTTCTGAGCGATCCCCTCGATGGATACCACTGGTGCAACTGCAAAAAAAGACCAAAAACATATTACATTATCCCTGTGTAAACTAAAGAACGGCATTCAAAACATCACATCAGGTTTGCCAAGCTGCTGTGTAAAGTTTTGTATCATGTTTTTGTATATTTATGGAGAATTGTTGTGTGGGAGCGCGGCTGACGTAGGATTGTGGGCTGAGAATTGGACAGAATCTTACAGCTAACCGTAAAAAGACTCAGAATAGGGCCCAGGAGAGATCACTAAATTACTCAGACATGCATGGATGGCATTTAAAACCTCATCAGGAATGTTTTTGATGAGGGAACAATGTTATAACAAGGCAGAAAACCTCCGAAGAACCAATTTTGTTTAATGGAATGTTCCACAGTGTGACATTAAACAGCTCTACTTTACATTTATTCAATTATAGGTGGGTGTATAGCTCAAAAATCCCTAGAAAAAACAACATTCTGACTGTGAGCGGGGTCGCCTCTCCACAGATCTGACCTGTAACCTGGTCTGGTTTGGTCTCCATGAAGACAGAAATGTTTAATATCACACTGTGAAACATTCCAGACAGAGCAATAACATCTCCATGCAGAAAAGCATTTGCCGGACCATCCACCACCAAAAAAGTTACACAATGCACCTTTAAATGATGTAAAACTATGATACATATTCACCACAAACTTGTCATGTATCCCACCACATCAAGTCAGAATTAGACAAACATGAAAACCTGTCATACCGTATTTTTGGAACAATAAGTCACACTTTTTTTCATGGTTTGGGTGTTTCCTGCGACTTATACTCTTATATATTTAAATTTTCACACTGACAGCGGTGAGAGGCTCTAGTCTTGTGTGTCAGTATTTGCTGCTCCTGTTCCTCCTGTACCACTGTCACTTCACTCTACTGCACATGTCTCCTGCAGAAAGAGCCTCTGTCCTGTCTGTATCATGTCAGTCGATCGCACCATTACTTCTGCACCACTGAAAATTTTTAAAAGTAAGTGACTTCAGTGACAACCGAAACCGTCCTGTCGGGATTCAGAAAGGCCGGAATAATTATGTATTCACCCTGTGTGTCTGTGTGTCTGTCCACCCGCGATAATTCCCGCGACTGTCACCAAATTTGGTACGTGGGTCAAGCCCCCGTGCCCAATGCCTCAAAAAAATAAAGTTTGGTGACGATCCAAAGTCATTTGAGGTCACACGGGTCAATTGAAACGTCACGTCATTATAAAGGATTGGCAATTTTGGCAATTTCTGAACCATCTGCGAGCTAAAATATTCACCCAATCATCACACAAGTTGGCACACACATAACCGGGGTATGGACTGGGCTCCTCATAAGCTGCTTCTGTGGTGACCAACTGCCCCCACCTATGACTCATGACGGACCAGGTTGCTATTTCTGATTGAGCTTGTTCTGGCACTGAACTGGAACTGATGCTGAGTCTGACGACAGCTACGCAGAAGAGGAAGCGACGCTCTTGTTTACCTCCAGAGGTCGTGGAGTTGCTCAGAAGTGACACCGAGGATGAAGAATTGAATGGATTTAGTGATAAACTTGGTAAACTTGTTCTGTTCTGTTGTTTATGCTATAGTTTATCTGAAGAACTGTTCATATGTGACGTTACCAGACTGTTGTTTTCTGTTCTATTCTTATTACTATAACTTGCCTCTGATTTTATAAAATAAATTTCCCACTTCTTCTTCATTCTGCATTTTTTGGCTGGTGTGACTTACACTCCAGAGCGACTTATAGTCCAAAAAACACAGTAAGCACTTGGACGTTTTAACCTTGGTTTGCAGCTCGTGCTTCTTGTTCTCCGTCTGTTGCTGTTTAAACCTAATCAATATTTCATAACGCGCCTTCATTAGCCCGCAGTGTCCAAACAGACTCTCCCCCGATCCTCGAGCCAAGGAAATATGCATCAATTATTACACTGTTAGGATTATAGGAGCTCAAATTGCTCTTTTATGATCAGAGATGGAGCGGGATACATTGTGTAAGTCATATTTTATTGTAGCTTCAGAGCATTTTAAAAAGTCGTTGGAAAGTTGCGCGATTTAGTTTGGTAATTGTGGGTAATTGTGGGTAGCTGGTTCTTTTCCCAGTGGATATGTGAGCAAGGTTAAGCTGTTTGTTTGTTTTTATTCTGTTGTTTCCGCTTCAGAAACAGACCTGGAGTTGTGTTTTGTTTCATTCACACAATCGGTGATACAAAAAGTGCTCCACCTTCACTAGAATCGTTTGGATGATTTCAACCCTGTAACTGATCTGCACCTGTAAACCGATCTTTACTGAACTACAAGTAAAAGAAAAGAAACATCACAAGGTGGAACAGAGCGTTTTGAGCTTTGGAGATGTAATAATGAGTTCAAAAGTTCAAAGTTCAAAAAAGTTTATAGTCAATTCTTCATACAAAAAACATATAAAGGATCAAAATTGTGTTTCTCACTCCCATGCGTATAAATAAATAATAAATGTAAAGAGCTAAAGAAATAAATTGCTTTTTTATCAATTAAACTTATAGACTTTTAACTTATTTTGTTTTATCTTAAAGAAAAGGTGAATTCTTAATGTTATGTGATCAAATATTGAATTAAAGTATCTAGTATAGCGTATGAATTGTATATTAAGTTATTTATTACCGTATTTTTCGTACTATAAGTCACACTTTTTTTCATGGTTTGTGTGTTTCCTGCTGCTTATTCTCCAGTGCGACTTATATATTAAAATTTTCACCCTGACAGCGGTGAGAGGCTCTAGTCTTGTGTGTCAGTATCTGCTGCTCCTGTTCCTCACTTCACTCTACTGCGCATGTCTCCTGCAGAAAGAGCCTCTGTCCTGTCTGTATCATGTCAGTCGATCGCACCATTACTTCTGTACCAATTTAAACAAACTTATAAAGACCAACTGAGAAGGCTGAACACAAATGCCCCCAAAAAGAAAATTATATTTTGCAGATTTCAAGCTGCAAGAAGCAAAATCTGCAGCCGAAAATGGTAATCGAGCAGCAGAAAGAAAGTTTGGAATGAGCGAGAAATTTGCACCATGCAACTTTCCTGGAAGTCACTGGATGGATCGACAAAGCCTGGACTTCAGTGACACCAAAACTATTCTGTTCTGTTGGGATTCAGAAAAGCTGGAATAATTCTAACTGGAACTGATGCTGAGTCTGACGACAGCTACACAGAAGAGGAAGCGACGCTCTGTTTACCTCTGGAGGTCACGGAGTTGCTCAGAAGTGACACCGAGGATGAAGAATTGAATGGATTTAGTGATTTGGAGTGAGATGGAGAGTTTGTTCAAATTGTTCTGTTGTTTATGTTATAGTTTATCTGAAGAACTGTTCATATGTGACGTTAACAGTCTGTTGTTCTCTGTTCTATTGTTATTACTAGAACTTGACTTTCAAATGAAATGTCGGTTCCTGGTCTCCGATTTTATAAAATAAATTTCCCCCAAAAAGTGCGACTTATAGCCCTGAAAATACAGTATATACACATCAGTGGATCCAACTCACATCTTTAGTCTGGAGCTTTGCCTTTAACGTCTCTGTGCACTAATGCCGCACTCTGGGATCTGCTCTGTTGCCGCGTGAGTCTGCTCCTGACTCAGCACACAGTATAATTCTCACAAATGATGTAAAAGCTAATGGCGGCGATAAATAGTGAAATGAATAGGTGAACAGCTGCTGGTAGGGCGCACCTGACGCAGAGGCCCTGTCGGTGTGTGTGTGCTCAGACAGCTGCTGGTTAAATCTAATGGCTCGCGTACATTTACTGCTGTGGCCCAACGAGGCAGAGGGAATTTACATATTAGAGAACAATTAGCAGAGATTTTGTGTTCGATTAGAGGGAAACTGCAGCAGGACAGCTCGGCGAGGCAGCGGCTAATATCGAAAGGTCGTTCGGGACAATTCGGAGAAATCACACGCACACTGAGCCCCTTGACGACGAGGAGAGACGGGGGATGAAGTGGGAGCAGATCATTTGCATTCCAGGCTTTCTTCCAACTGTTTTAGCAGCAGCAGCACACAGGAAACTTAGAGGAAAATAAAGTGATTCCTCGCAAATATGAAAAAGTAACATTTTGGCAGATTACATTTCAGTTGTAAATGTTGTACAGTTTTATTGTAATTGGCTGAACTTTAAGACACTAGAACGGAGATCGGGGCCATTTTTTGTGTCATGATCCTCCAGTTTCAGGCTCCAGGCTTAATGCTCAATTTGGATTTTTTTGTGAAATCCGATTTTTTGGCGAGGTTCTTCACATTTCCAATTAAATGTGACTTGTATGTGATCTCCAGTGTGAACTTTAAATGTCCCAAAAGTGTCCCGCGTGCGCATTGGAGGACACGACGACGTCACACACAGCGAGCGTGTTCAGTGTTTACAGAAGTAGCCTAAACATGAGCAGCGATTTTTAAAGTTGCTGTCGTACCGGAGCCAGAACATGCACAGCTTATTTGTTTTAAGGAGGAGATTGAGAAGGAGAAAGATGAGGTTTTTGGCCCAGGTGTTTTTGTGGGGCAGTGGCAGCAACGCCTGTAGAAAGAAACATGTGGTGTGAAGTCACAGACAAGAGTGGTGGGATTGTGATGTTCTTCACAGCTTCACTCACACGCTTTTCACTCACACACAGTTTTCATATGACGAGAAGAACGTTTGTGTTCATTTGTGACAGTCTACTTCGGAGGAAACGCGTCTTCGGCAGCCTATTTCAGTGAGCAAATGCGTCAGAGTTGTGCTGTATTGGATTGCAACAGGTGCTTGTTACCGTGCTGCTGACGTGTAGGTGGGATGAATGTGACCTGGTCGTTCAGACTGAAGCCGCATGTCAAAAGATCAGATATGTATTGGTTTTAGGAGCACATATACAAGTGGCCTGGGTCGCATTTAAAGATCAGATACAGGAGCATAGTGGCGGAAAAATTGGATTTGGTCACTTCAGGCTGCAGTCTGAACTAGGGATGTGCATGATTAGTCGATTAATCGATAATTGATCATTAAGAATTTCATCGATTACGTTCATTTTCAATGACAAACTGAACTGAATGTAGGTTGCTGTACGTAGCGTGACCAAACAGGGGTTTGTACATGTGTCTCTCTGCACTCAGAAGGAGCGAGACACAAACAGTCGGTCAGTCTGCAATGTGCCGAAGCGCAAATGTGTATTTAACGATGATTTGAACAAGAAATTACACACTTTCCATTGCGTTCGGGACAAGTGTGAGTCCATGTGCACAGTGAACAAAGCAGCACATATGTTTCTGTGTCCAGTGGGAAAAAGCTTTGCCAGGTGAGAGTCGCGCAATGTCGATGACGAGTCCCCACCTCCCTCCCCCCGTACGGTGTCCTGGTTTTGACAAACGCAAATATGGTCACACTAACCTGTATTCCACCTGAGTCATGTCTTTTAATACGACAGAAATTGACCGCATCAGCGACACAAGAGCTGTAGTTTTATCAGTTTTATACAGTTTATACGTCGTAAAGTTGAATTTATTTATGCAGATTAGTAGTGCAGATAGTAATAATAATGATGATCATATTAATATAAAAACGTTAATGATTAATCGATAATCGATCGTTAATTCTTCCGACGATCGATTAAGAAAATTTCATCGAATGCCCATCCCAAGCAGCAACGTCCGTAGAAAGGAACGCTTTTCACGAGAAGAATGTTTGTGTAGATTTGTGAGCGCCTACTTGTACCACTCTCACAGGAGGAAACATGTCTTCGGCGGCCTATTTCAGTGAGCAAATGCATCAAACTCGTGCTGTATTGGATCGCAACAGGTGCTTGTTACCGTGTTGTTATGACGTGTAGGTGGGATGAATGCGACCTGGCCGTTCAGACTGAAGTCGCATGTCAAAAGATCGGATATGTATCGGTTTTAGGAGCACATATCCAAGTGTCCTGGGTCGCATTTAAAAAAAATCGGATCTGTGTCGTTCAGACTGTCATTAAAAGATCAGATACAGGTCACATAGGGGTGGAAAAATCTGATGTTTTTTTTTTTTTTTTTAATCAATAAATACTGACAGATGTCGCAGTGGATGGGGTTAGGGTGTCACTGATAACATCTTAAAGACTTTACAAATGAGCTGACCACTTCCTCAGAGCTCTGTGTTTCGAAGGAGAGTTGTTTGTTTCTCAAAGCAAATGCAAAACCACAAAGTCAAGTCCACTGTAAGTAATATTCCCCAATTGTTTTATATGTACATTATTATTTTCATTTGGCACCGAATGTAGCAGTCGCATCAAGACTTCTTTGGTGAAGTTTTCGTCTTACTTGTAAAGCGTTGAAGAGTTAACAGTGACGTCCGCCCACGCCTCGCTGCCCACTGCGTTATATTTCAGTATTTATTGATTTTAGCACGACTCAGCAAAAAACACAAAGAGACAAATGTAGGCAGAAAGAGCTGTTGTGCATAGAGCCAGTTAAGCAATGTGGTGGAAATTTGGAGTGTTACGTGAGTTTTTCCGTTGTCCAAGATACTCTGTAAGTAAGTGTTAAAAGCCACAGTTACTGTTCTTCGTCGAATCCTTTAGTCTCACAGGACGAAGGCTACAGGCACCTTTGGGTTTTCCATTTACATGTCTACTGTTTTCTTTCACATGTTAATTGTTTGATCATTCTGGTCTCTACTCAGATGCAAATGTAAAAATGTTTCCTCTCTGAGCTAAAAAGGCCAAATTGTTCTTGGGAAGGGCTTGGACCTCAGACAGTTTTAAGTGTTGTTTCTGTCTGTCAGTAGTCGGGGAGTTTGTTACAGGTGCAAAAGTAATAAACCAACACAGACAGTCGGGCTGCTCCATAATGGAAAAAAAACATTATCACGATTATTTTGGTCAATATTGAAATCACGATGATTCGAACGGTAATCTTTTAGTTACACGATGCATTTATTCAGCATTTTTGTCTTTCAAAAAAAACTTTGATATTGATAATTTGGCAAAACTTTTAAAACTGAAAATAAATATAGGCTACAAATATCAACCTTAGAGCAGTTTTGCGATGTACAGTCGACCCTCACTATAACGCGGTTCACCTTTCGCAGCCTCACTGTTTTGCTGACTTTTTTAGTGCGATTTTGCATGCTTTTTTGTGTCCTGATTGGCTCAGGGACTGTAGACCTTTGTCAATCAATCTCCTCCGTGCCGTGTCTCCTGTACAGTACAGAATGTGTTCAGTTCGCCAAATTTACATAAATGTTCGATCTCTAGCAGTGTGATTCTGAAGTGCTGTATGTTTGCAAGTTTTCTCCCCGACAAAACCCACAATGTCGACGAAACGTTCTGCACCGACAAAGGCTCCTGCGGTCGCACCCAAAAGGCAGAGGAAGATGTAAACATTGCACAAAAAGTTGGACTTCTGGACATGATGAAGGAAGGAATAAGTTACGCGGCTGTAGGGCTCCATTCGGGAATAAGTTAATCTTCGGTTTGTTACGTAAAGAAGTAGGAAAATAACATAAGGACGACAGCAGCAATAAGTTTTAAGAAGGATGCAAAAAGGGTTGTACTTGTCCCATCTGAGAAAAGTGTATAAAGTTTGTGGTGAGGGGTTTTACTGCCTTAAAACAGATATAATAATTGTAAAAAATAAAGCTGACTACTTCGCGAATTTCAACTATTGCAGGTTATTTTTAGAACGTAACCTCCACGATAAACGAGGGACCACTGTATAAAACATAAAATGAATAAAATATACTTTGAACATGAAATAAGGCATAGAAAATCATAAATTATCCAAAATAATCTATATATCCAGCTGTTCTACAATCTCTACATTTCTCTTTTTTAATTTTAATCTTCATGATTATTTATGTTTTGATTTGTTTTTATTATGATTTTAATGTATTTCTTATTCTGTAAAGCACTTTGAATTACTTTGTGTACGAATTGTGCTATACAAATAAACTTGCCTTGCCTTGCCTATTTGAAAAAATTAAATAAATATACTTGTTTATATAAAAAATATCCCAAAACAAACTTTAAACTAAGCTGTAAATTGTTTCAACTCAATCATATGACTTTGGAGATGGTTTGACACACAAATTGAAATCGCGATCAAAATTCCTGTAACTTTTGGTTTTCTTTTACAGATAATTTCCACAACACCAATTAAATGTGACATCCCTGAGCCAAAACAACAAAAACAGAGCCCCTGGTTGAAGCTGTTGGAGCGGTGTACTCACAGTGCACGTTGAGTGTGAAGGGGATGCGGAACTCGGTCTGCAGGGCCGGGTGTTTGACCACGCAGGTGAGCACGCGGCCCTGGGCGTAGCTCTGGGGCTGCCACAGGTAGTGCACGTGGACAGAGGTGGTGCCGTTCGCCTCCTGCTGGCTCTGGCTGTCGCTGCGGCCGTACAGCTGCGTCTCCCAGAACACCTCGGCGGCTGGACGGCCCTTCTCCGCGATGCACGTGGCCACCAGGGACTCGTTGGCACCGTCCATGAGCGCCGTGGGGCCCGCAGACACGTACACCTTTGGCTCCACTGTGAAGAGAGAAGAACGAAGACGGTTAGGGCAGGGATTTTAAATGAGATTCAGTCATGTCTAATGGTCAGTAAGGCTGTCAAAAGTATCGAAAATCTGACCCCAATCAATCAAAAAGTCACATTCACAGGACAGAAATGAACCTTTCCTGAAACTTGAATGATCTTGAACTGCATCAGAACAAGTATAAGAGCACATAGACGAGTATACATCCATGGACCAATAGGAAACCAACCTAAAGAGGCAATCGAAATACAGAAATGTGCCCACGGGACTATAAACCGGGACGACGGGGCTTTCTTACTCTCATACACCTGGGATACCGTCCTGAGGAAGTCGGACTGCAGATGGCGCTGTCGTCCTGCCTCCACCGGTAGGAAGACAACGCCAAAACCTGTTTAAATCAGCTGAGTACTAAGATTTAATGTTGAAAATCACATTCTGTCTATATAAAGTGTTTTTTTTTTTATTATCATTGTGGTATCGGAATTGATTGTATTGAGTATCGAGTCTATTCCTTAGTATCAAAAGCGAGTTTGAAATTTTAGTATCGTGACAACACTAAAGCTCAGTGATCAGCTAAGATCTTTTTAAAGGAAAGTTAATTCTTGGTTTAGAGAAGAATTCAGACACCCCTAGAGCAGGAGTGGGCAATTATTTTTTCCATGGGGCCACATGAGAAACAGAAAATATTGTGGAGCCAGACGGGGCCAAAATGCTTAACTCAATTCTGCATAATATTCATTGTATTTCTTTATAAAAAGCAGTAAATATCATTGTTTTGACAAGCTGGTAAGAGTTTATGTTATGACTAAGTAATGAAAAACCCACGTTCCCTTACAAAAAATGTCATTAAAAAAAAAACACCTCTAAAATAAATGTTTATTTTGTAATTCCAGTTTAAACGGGCTGGTCAGAGTCAACAACAACAACAATGACCAGCTTTAGGGGGAGATACGGGACTATGTTTTGTGTTAAATGGAAAACTGTCTTGCTTGTGTTCATTAAATCAACACTGAAAGGCATTTTTATTTAGTTTTTCAAAAAAAAAAAAAAAAAAATATATATATATATATATATATATATATATATATATATATATATATATATATATATGTATATATATTGGAACAGTCCTCGAAGTATAGGGACCAGGGCAAAAACTCACTGTGACTGATATAACATTTTTCTTGCAACAGTTTGTGTATCTCAAGACTCGTGTGAACTTGATTAAAACTCAGTGCTCAACGAAGGATTAGGTACAGCGTCTTTAGGTAAAACAGATTTGGAACTAGTATGTCTGTGAATTTTATTTTTTTTTTCATGTCTCACTAAGTCTCATTGTAATTTATGCAGCAAACATAATAGGTTTATGTAAGTTTAATTTAATGAAAAGTTCCAAGAGCAAAAAAAAAAAAAAGTGTCAAAAATAGATGTAATTTTACAACCATAAAACTGCACGGCTGAAAACACCATAAATTTGACATCTGTACTTGTAAAGAGCGTATCCAGTTACTCGCACCACTGGGAGGACACATGTCAGAAAAGAGAAAAATGACAAAATGGCTATTGATCTATTTGCCTTTCCATATGAATAAATAATGGGCTTCATACGATGACACGGGGAAGTGGCCTAAGAGCAGCTTTATGCATGAAAAATACATGAGCCCTGCCACTCCATCATAGCGGAGCTGTCTGCGGGTCCTGTAACGTGAACCACTATCGCTCATATCCGCCGGAAAACCAAGTGCCACTACTTCAACTACAGTGACAAGGTGCATCGGACTGAAATGGGTGCAGGAATTCTCTGTTATAATGTTGTTCCCTCATCAAAAACACGCCTGAAGAGGTTTTAGACATCATCCATGCATGTTTGAGTAATCTTGCGATCTCTCCTGGGCCCGATTCGAACCTTCGTTACGGTTTAGCTGTACAAGACCACAATACCCATGCTCCCACATGACAATCTTCCATAAGTGTACAAAAGCATGATACAAAACGACACCAGAACTGCTCAATCCTGATGCGATGTGCAGTAGTTTCATAAGCACACTGATTGTGTTGTGATAGCGCTCTGAAGGGGGAGTTACTTTGCACGGGAAGCAAAAAGATGAGGGGTTCAACAGCATCAAAAAACAAAAATGAAAAACAAAAATGAAACAAATTGTTAAAGTTTGCTCTTCTTCCAACTACTTTTTGCACAAAATTGTAATACAGCACAATATCTACCGTATTTCAGACTATAAGGTGCAATATCAGTAATGTTGAATTCTCTTGTCTATTTTCTTACATAAGGCGCACTGGATTATAAGGCGCATTAAGAGAAACAAACCAACGACACTTGAGACTGATCCTTAGCCCAGGCGTCCATGATCCATCGGCAGATCGTGGCGTAATTCGCTCGCCGTTGCCTCCCTGTCTTGGTGAACGTGGATTATGAATGTGAATGTGGGTGGATCATTTAAGTTTGGATTTTTGGTTCCTACGAGGACGACTCAAATATACATTGAGTAATAATGTGTTTAATGCAGCTTTGCGCACATTTGTTTACGTTTTACAGAAACGAAACTTAAAACCACATGTCTCATTTGCAGAAACTATAAGCGTTGAAAAAAAAAAGCTTTTTCCTTGTGTGCTGATGCGGTTCAGCTTCTGTTGGACTAAACGACACGACTCAGTGGAATATGAGTGTTCTTTCTGTGACGAAGGCGATAACGCGATGGCGGCAGTGAGCGTTGAGTTGACGCAGAACTATACTTCGCCCTTTTCTCCGCGAGGCTCCTGACTACAGTAGCCATAATGCTCTGACAATCCATCAAACTACAAGCTTTGTAGTTTACCAAAGTCGTACTGAAACCTTTTGACAGAGTTTTGAGCCCCATATACCACATAAAATCAGTTCGAGGTCAGTAAGCACAACCAGAATTAATACATAAGGCACACTGTCGATTTTTGAGAAAATAAAAGGATTTTAAGTGCGCCTTTAGTCTGAAAAATACGGTAATTGCCAAAGTTTACTCTTCTTCCAACCACTTTTTCTACAATTATTTACAATAATATTATAATGATTCTCAAATAAATGAACTGAACTGAATGTGTTAACAATAAAAGGTAACACCCCCTCTTTATATTATTTTATTTTTGTAACATACATAACGTTTAATTCAGATACTGTTGTACCTGAAGTTCTCACAACGATCCCACTGCCGTATTGAGTTTCAGTTAAAGCCCGACATCTTGACAGGCTCAAGATCAACAAAAGAAGTGCAAAAACAGAACAATGACACCGCAAGAGCAGTTGACTTTGGCCTGGAAGATGTGTATCTCTGAGCCCAAAGCCCCTGGGAGTACACACACACACACACACACACACACACAGACGCACACACAGAGGGTTGTCGATTGCGCGGCCGTGGTCTGTCGGTCTGTCAGCGCTGGGCTCGTTGTGAGTGAGAGAGCGACACCGGTCCTGCTCGGAGCTGGATACAGTTACAGAGTTTCCTGAGAAAAACAGCGGGGTTAGACCAACACCAGGGGGGACATGCACGCTACCTGCGGGACGGTCAACACAAACTCTCGAACGAGGTTTAAGAAGAGAAGGATTCACACGGGGACTAGTGTGAGACACGACGTTACACTGAGCACAAAGGGGTCCATGTAAACACGCTGGGCCAGGCCGAGTTCCAGTGTGGTCATCTGTTCCACCAATATTTTGTCTGTGTCTGACGATAAACACATCACAGCTCCTAAACTAATCTCGGCTGGTTATAGCACATGACGTTTGAAAACATTTATCATCTTTATCAAAGGAAAGTGTTCCTCTGTAGTCTGATGACGTGAAGAGCTCTTACTCAGATTGTTTAATGTTTCAGACAGGGATGGGAAAAGATCTCCTGCCACAAGATCCCATGAGAAAAAATTGCCGCAAAATGAGGGAAATTATGGGAAAAATTATCTTGTGAGAGTTTTTTTTTTTTTTTTTTTCCAGGGATAAGGATAAAATAAGACATAAAAGGGCAACGTGTTGGTGAGTTACATCTCTTAAAGTTGCAAAAATCAGCACTAGACTGGAAACAAAAATATGAAATCAAATATTGTGAGCCCAAAACTGGACACCAAAACATGAAATTTAATAATCTCGTATCTTGTCTCGTCTTGTGGAAATTGTGTCTCGTCCCATCCCTACAGGTTAGAATTAAACGGGCCAAAATTTTAAGCTGGAGGTAGGAAGCAGGGCAGGCGTTTCAAGGGCAAGATGTTGGAAAGTCTTCTCTTAAATGGATTTGATTCATGCTGTTTGAGTAAAAATAATAATAATAAATAATAATAATAACACATTTTATTTATGTAGTGCTTCTCAGGACACTCAAAGATGCTTTACAGAACACGTTAAAACGAGCAAATAGCAAATAATGCAGTTAAGATAAAAACTGTGACTCAAAATAAGATCAATAATCTTGTATAATTCTGCATATAAGGGTTGAGTGCTCAGAAAAATGCTGTTTTCACCTACCCCCTATCCCTACCCACACTAGAGCCCTGCACTGCCCTGCGTCGGGACACATTTTTAAAGCTCATTGCAGGTGGGGACGGGTGCGGTCCGCAGACATATCCGCTGCAGACTTTGCAGCGGGATATGCATTCATATTTAGTTTGCCGGACTGCAGTTTGTGCAGTCCGGCAAACTAAATATGAATGCATATCCCGCTGCAAAGACTGCAGCGGGATATGTCTGCGGACCACAGAATATAAAATTGAGATTATCTAAAGTAAAACTACTCACTTTGAGACTAAACCAGTGTTTCCAAACTTTTTCAGGGAACCCATATTTTAAAAGTCACAAACCTTCATGGCCCAAATCAATAGACATTATTCGTAAATCACAAAATAAAGGTGGATTTGACCATTATTGAACATTAATGAGGATATTTTATTGTTGACTGAGCGAGTATCTTTCTGAACAATTAGTATTACTCAAGTTTTAAACAATGAAAAACAG